TTTAGCCCCCCCCCCCCTAGTGGCACAGCGGTATGTCTGCGGATTTACAACGATAGAAACCGGGTTTCGATACCCGCGGTGGGCAGAGCACAGATAGCCCATTTGTGTAGCTTTGTGCTTAACTTCAAACAAAAACATCTTACTCATTTATTACCTAAATTCATAATTCTGGAGATGAAGACAATTATTCTAGCATACTTCCAGCTTAGTCTTTCCTAATAATAAAGCTAAAGTTAACATAATGCTCTACTCTAAGTTTACTAGACAACGTTTCACCGCCGTTGGCAATATACACTTTTTAACTTAATATCACTTGCATGAACACTTTAAATAAGTTTAATCTAAACTCAAAACATCGAGATCTAACCTAGCCTTATGGTACTGAATGATTGGGTTATTTGGCAGCGATTGGACCACCCCCTTCCCCCAGCGGTCAACCTGAGGCCTCCTGAAGATGGTCTGCAAGAATTAATGCTACTTCTTTTTGTCGTGTCCCCCTATCCCTATATGGTTTTCATTCAATGCTGCGCACACATGATTGCATGCTCACTGGGACCTGGAGTTATGGGAAGACGATTATACGTTGCATCGTCTGCTTCTCACAGGCAGAGGATCCATCTTTGCCTTAGACCTGCTGATCTGGGAAGGTAAATAATAGAGGGATTTCCAGAGGATTGATGGTGGTTGCCAGATCATCAACAACGATCACGCTAGGAAATAAACACGTAAACTCGATTTATTTTTTAAATATACTCATACTTTTAAAAATCGCCTGTAGAGCTATTTATTACAATTTAACTTTCTTCATATATGTTTCATTTTTATCCAAATTCAACATTTTTGGCTTTATGACTAGTAAAAGGGATCTTACAGCTCATGAAGATTTTTAAGGGCCGTGAATTACTTTATATTGCCCATCACTGGCCTGTATCAAACAAAGCGTCCTTGTAACCTCTTATAGCTGAAAGTCGGTATTGGGTCACTGGCAAAATGATGAACATACTTGTAGGTTTACTTTGATGGTTGATCATAATTTATGAGATTTCACCAAAAGTCTTTAAAAAAGATTTTAAAAAATCAGTAAATTTCGTTTTGGGCTGCAATAATCTTCCACTGGCGTTCTTCTGGATAATTTTTGTTTGTTTGTAAGTAAGCACAAAGCTACACAATGGGCTATCTGTGCTCTGCCCACCAAGAGTATCGAAACTTGGGTTTTAGCATTATAAGCCTTCAGGCTTACCGCTGTGCCACTTGGAGCTCTCATTAATGAATTAAGTCTGTTGAATGTTTTTTAAATATACATATAATAGCATTAAATACCTCGTTAGAATTTAACACCTATAATTCTCAAGTAACGACGAGCATACAGAACTGAAGGATACGACACTCAGATAAAATATTTATATTTGAACAGGGTGCCAAACTTTATTGGGAAGTGGGGGGGGGGGCAAGAAAAACGCTTGGCAACTTCAATTCAAACATAATTAAGAATGAAACATAACTTATAGAGTTAAACCGTAAAAAAAAGAACTGTTTTTAAATATAGATACAAACATCAGTCCAAAATATTAATTGTGTCAAACACTTTGGTATAGCTTTGCAGTTATATATATATCTAATCATTACGAACATGGTGGTATAGCTTTGCAGTTATATATATATCTAATCATTACGAACATGGTGGTATAGCTTTGTAGTTGTAGATATCTAATCATTACGAACATGATGGTATAGCTTTGTAGTTGTAGATATCTAATCATTACGAACATGATGGTATAGCTTTGTAGTTATATATATCTAATCATTACGAACATGATGGTATAGCTTTGCAGTTATATATATCTAATCATTACGAACATGATGGTATAGCTTTGCAGTTATATATATATCTAATCATTACGAACATGATGGTATGGCTTTGTAGTTGTAGATATCTAATCATTACGAACATGATGGTATAGCTTTGCAGTTATATATATCTAATCATTACGAACATGATGGTATGTCTTTGCAGTTACAGATATCTAACCTTTACGAACACGATGGTATAGCTTTGCAGTTATATATATTTAATCATTACGAACACGATCATTTGTCAATCTAATATCGTTGTTAATACTGCCATTAGAAACAACAAACAAAAACCTACCCACGTAGCTGGCTTTGAAAAATAGTGTATGTACTCTAAGTGAGAAACGTGGAGGGGTTAAATACATAATTTGGCCCTCCTGTAATCAGACAAGGGTGACACGTGCTTTATTTGCCCTATGTTTTGGGCGCTTCTATGTTTAAGTGCATCAAAATGGTCTACAACAAACATTATTATTTATACTTTAATGAAGGACATTCGACTTTATAATTCTAAACAACAGTTAGTAAGTAGATTGAACAACATTTAGTAAGTAGATTGCTACAGGGCTCTCGGGAATAAGCGCGAAAACCCCTAGTATGTCATTGTTAGTTCGCAACGTACACATCATCATCATTCATACTTTGCATTCACGAGATCACCCCCTTGAGAACGTCTTTACGTTAAAAATTAAACGAACCATAACACAAATATGCAGCAAATATTAAATAAGCCCATTTGTTTCAACGACATCTTCTACCCTCTCGCCTTTATTCCTGGCCCTTAGAGGGATAAGAGAAACGAATTCCTGCGTCAGTTGGTTGTTGAGTGTGTACACTATTTCAGACTAGAAAGATGATGTAATCAAACCTTTTTTTTTTTTTCTTCCGGCGACTCTACGCGAGATCTGCTGTTTCTTATTAGCTGGCGGAATGCGTGAAATACTAAAATTTATTCAACAATTCTCATCATGAAGAAGCTTACAATTCAGAAATCGCACGCATGCACTGCATGAATTGTACGAACTAAAGCATTCATTTACTTTAAGTTCGTAATCCACAGATTTGTTGAGCGACTCAACTTTACTGGTGTTTTAAGTTCGTAATCCACAGGTTTGTTGAGCGACTCAACTTTACTGGTGTTTTAAGTTCGTAATCCACAGGTTTGTTGAGCGACTCAACTTTACTGGTGTTTTAAGTTCGTAATCCACAGATTTGTTGAGCGACTCAACTTTACTGGTGTTTTAAGTTCGTAATCCACAGGTTTGTTGAGGCGACTCAACTTTACCGGTGTTTTAAGTTCGTAATCCACAGGTTTGTTGAGCGACTCAACTTTACTGATGTAATCCACAGGTTTGTTGAGCGACTCAACTTTACTGGTGTTTCAAGTTCGTGATCCACAGATTTGTTGAGCGACTCAACTTTACTGGTGTTTTAAGTTCGTAATCCACAGGTTTGTTGAGCGACTCAACTTTACTGATGTAATCCACAGGTTTGTTGAACGACTCAACTTTACTGATGTAATCCACAGGTTTGTTGAACGACTCAACTTTACTGGTGTTCTGGACACATCTTAACATACAAACAAAATGCGAATGAAATGATTTAAAAACGACATTTGTGTAAAAAC